ACTGACAGTTTAGGGTTGCCATACAAATCTGACCTCCACGATAATGTCTTGATTATCTGGTTACATATGACCTATATTGGTTTCCCTGGAGATCTGACTAGCTGGCTGCCTCTTCGTCATTAGTCAGGTATTTCTGTAGGTAAGTTGTGCAGAGCTTTCCTCCCCCACCATTCATTTTTTTCTTCAAATCGCTCTCTTCTCTCTCCTTCTTTTAACTGGTGTGTAGAGCTGGGTGTTTCTGTTTCAGGGGAAAATCCAAAATTTCTATTTTTTTCCATTTTGAAATTGAACAAAAAAAAAAATCATTGAAATTTCCGGTGAAACAAAACACTGGAAAAAAATCATTTGAACAACACATGCTTTATATGCACCCAAACACAACATACATCAAGAATCCAGGTCACACAAGATGGGAGACAGCTTCCCAGTGCGGGGAGACAGATACGCACTACCTCTGTTCAAGCCAGTGGGCGCAAGAAAGCCATGTGGCCATGGCAGCACAGCCAGCGGCTTAGGCTAACCACCGGTGTACAAACCCCTCCAACTCCTGGGTACGTGCCCAGGTGGCTAATCTGAGCCACCGCCTGTACTGCCACAGGCATGCTGCTATTTTTACCAGGTTAGCTCAAGCAGAGCGAACGCATCTGCCTACCCAGGGTGGGAAATATGCTCCCAGCTACTGTGTAGACATACCCGGAAAAGATCTTAGTGGTCATGGTAGCAGAATATGAGCTTCCTGTGCAATGCAGTAGCTAAGAAAGTGAATGCAATCCTTGGATACATAAGCAGGGGAGCATCGAGTAGGAGGTGGTATTACTGTTCTGTACACAGCATAAATAAGACCACTGTTAAAATAGTGGGTCCAGTTCTGGTGTCTGTGCTTTAAAAATGATGTGGAAAAATTGGAAGTGTTCACAAAAGACCTATAAAATTGATGTAACGCCTGGAAAACAGGACTTATGGTGAGACTTGAGAAGCTTGATCTATGTAGTTTATCCAAAAGAAGGAAAGCAGTGACTTGATCATAAACTACAAGTACCTATTTGGGGAAGAGATTTCTGATAGTAGACAGCTCCTTAATCTAGAGAAAAGGGCAATGGGTGGGAGCCATAGCTAAAGAGATTCAGACTACAAATACGGTACAGGTTTTTGGACAAGTGAAGGTAATTGACCATTGGAACACCTTACCTTGGTAAGTGTGGTGGATTCTCCATTACTTAAAGTCTTTAGGTCAAGACTGGACAGTTTTCTAAAAAGAAATTATGGGTTTGATGCAGAAATTACTGAATTAGGTTCTATGCCCTGTGTTATGCAGGCAGTCTGAGGAGGTGATCATAACGGTTCCTTCTTTATACTGAAATTGGAACAGGTCAGAAAACAGCAACAAAAATGATTAGGGATATGGAACTGCTTCTGTATGAGGAGCGATTAATAAGACTGGGCCTTTTCAGCTTGGAAAAGAGACGACTAAAGGGGGGATATGATAGAGGTCTATAAAATCATGACTGGTATGGAGAAAGTAAATAAGGAAGTGTTATTTACTTCTTCTCATAACAAAAGAACTAGGGGCCACCAAATTAAACGAATAGGCAGTAGGTTTAAAACAAACAAAAGGAAGTATTTTTTCACACAATGTACAGTCAACCTGTGGAACGCCTTGCCAGAGGATGTTGTGAAGGCCACGTCTATAACAGGGTTCAAAAAAGAGCTAGATAAGTTCATGGAGGATAGATCCATTGGTGGCTATTAGCCAGGATGGGCAGTGATGGTGTCCCTAGCCTTCGATTGCCAGAAGCTGGAAATGGGCGACAGTGGATAGATCACTTGATGATTACCTGTTCTGTTCATTCCCTCTGGGGAACCTGGCAGAAGACAGGATACTGGGCTAGATGGACGTTTGTTCTGACCCAATATGGCCATTCTTATGTTCTTCCAGGCTTAAAATTTATGATACATAAGATAAAGTCCAAGCTGGAAATTGATTAAGATACCAGGCTGCCATTCCTAATTTTATGAAAATTGTGACAAGCTCTTTAGTGTCCACAAGTGGTCACTACCTTACTTTTAGGTGTCTATCAAAAAACAGCATCTCCAAAAGCAGAGTGCCCCCCCCCCAACTCCCTGTGCACTGACTTAGTGCTGATTTAGACAGAAGATTGTCACCTACTGATTATTCAGTACTGCTTCCTGCATCACTCTAGGGGGCTGGGGAAAGGCTCTCATCCAAGCAATGACCAAATCATACCTGCTTAGGCTCATGAGATCTGTCAAACTCCACAGGTCAAGGAGAAATGATCTTCATCTGTGCTCCCTCTTTTACTTCCTATTTCTACTAAGTAGGAAATAAAACAGTGCCCTACTACAATCATTGGCCACAGGACTTTTCTCACTAATGTGTTCAGCAAGCCTATCAAAGAGCTTTTATGAAACCAATGCCAAGTTAACTGGTAGACTCATAGGAAGCTGAGCCAGCTCTCTCATGTACGCCCCAGAAGTGAGACAGTGTAACAATCTTGTAAATGCAATTTTCCATTTTAGGATATGCATGTGCTCAACTCTCCCTTTTTACCTTGGTATGATCAGCATGACAATGCTGAGCAGACATAATTACAGCTAAAAGCACTAAGCTAAATAGAATGGGGATCAGGTAGTGATACTGAGTTTACAGATGGCAAAGCCAAGTATGATGGTGTGGGTGGATGAGCTGTATGGAGCCATCTATCCGTAAGAAGCAAATGGGCATAAATCGTTTACAGCAGTGTTTCTCAAAGAGGGAGAAGCTAGTTGTTTTGAAGAGATATTCTTCTCTGCCAGTGCAAACACAAGCAAGCTAAAGGACACTGAAATAAGAAGAGTTTCTTTTATCTAGACAATCCCACAGAATGCTCTGCTTCATATTTAATGTTCAGAGAGCCAGATCCTCAGGTAGCATAAATCAGCATAACTTTATTAACTTCAGTGGAGCTTTGCTGATTTATACACCAGCTGAGGATCGGGCCAGAATATTCAATATACATTAATGATCTGGAGGATGGTGTGGATTGCACCCTCAGCAAGTTTGCAGATGACACTAAACTGGGAGGAGAGGTAGATACGCTGGAGGGTAGGGATAGGCTACAGAGGTCCCTAGACAAATTAGAGGATTGGGCGAAAAGATATCTGATGAGGTTCAACAAGGACAAGTGCAGAGTCCTGCACTTAGGATGGAAGAATCCCATGCACCGCTACAGACTAGGGTCCGAATGGCTATCAGCAGTTCTGCAGAAAAGGACCTAGGGGTTACAGTGGACAAGAAGCTGGATATGAGTCAACAGTGTGCCCTTGTTGCCAAGAAGGCCAATGGCATTTTCGATGTATAAGTAGGGGCATTGCCAGCAGATCGAGAGGTGTGATCTTTCCCCTCTACTCAACACTGGTGAGGCCTCATCTGGAGTACTGTGTCCAGTTTTGGGCCCCACACTACAAGAAGGATGTGGAAAAATTGGAAAACGTCCCACGGAGGGCAACAAAAATGATTAGGGTACTGGAACACATGACTTATGAGGAGAGGCTGAGGGAACTAGGATTGTTTAGTTTGCGGAAGAGAAGAATGAGGGAGGATTTGATAGCTGCTTTCAACTACCTAAAAGGGGGTTCCAAAGAGGATGGATCTAGACTGTTCTCAGTGGTAGCAGATGACAGAACGAGGAGTAATGGTCTCAAGTTGCAGTGGGGGAGGTTTAGGTTGGATATTAGGAAAAACTTTTTCACTAGGAGGGTGGTGAAACACTGGTATGTGTTACCGAGGGAGGTGGTGGAATCTCCTTCCTTAGAAGTTTTTAAGGTCAGGCCTGACAAAGCCCTGGCTGGGATGATTTAGTTGGGGATTGGTCCTGCTTTGAGCAAGGGGTTGGACTAGATGACCTCCTGAGGTCCCTTCCAACCCTCATATTCTATGATTCAATTGTCTCTTCTGCCTTTTACTGGGTCTTGCTGTGTGTAGATTTGACCAAGACAATAACATAAATTAATAGGCTTACTGAATGTTTTAAATAAACTTCAGGAAGATAACAAAATGCACCATATTTTTCAAATGATTGCTGTGATACAGGGGTTTTATAGGTGCCTTCTCTTAAACACATAGCCTCTTTTACAGATGTTTATATCAGAGGAAGAACAAATATTTTGCCATAGCTTCAGGGAGAAATTCTATGGGAATGCTTGGAAAAGCCTAGTAGGGATGGACTTCATTACCTAATCATGTACAAAGAAAGCTTTCCACTGAAATGTAATTGAGGCTTGGGAATATTTTTACAGGCATGTGGTCTACACTACCCCCTCAGTCCCTTTCCCATGTGTGCGCCCAGCACCTCTGAAAATCAGGCTAAAGGAGTCCAGTTTTCTACAGATATTTTTCAGTCTGGTCAGTACATGGGAGACAGCCAAGGGAAAAAACACTAGGGCAATATGGGAAGTGGTGCTGACGATTCAATAGTGGCACTCTTTCCACCAAATTCATACTCCAGCATGGAAGCAGAGTCCAAGATGCTGCTGGAGGAGTTACCTTCTCTCAGATGAAAAGTAAAACTGACTTCCCGACCACATGTTATTGAAGATCCTCTGCTAATTCCAGAATCTTGGCAAAATCCCAATATGAGTCATTACATTCTGCCTCCCTAAATTCCAACTTCATGGGTCCACCTCCTGTCCTGATCTGTAAAATGGTACCTTCCTCCCCATAGGTAGCTGCATTTTAGCAGTGTGAAATCATTCCATCGTCTCTATGTAAAGCCTACACATAGCTTGGGGATGCTTTTCAATTAAAGGATCTTTATAGAACAGTGGTTCTCAAACTATTTACCATTGTGGGCCATGTATGCGGCCCTCAATATGTTACACGGGCCCCATCCAATACTACCTGCATGGCCCTGAGGATCTCACGTGGGCCGCAGCTCTGTGCTGATTGGGCCGCAGGCTGAGAACCACTGTTATAGAAATAAGAGAGAGTATAAACAAAATACCATGCTGCAAAGTCCAAAGACCGGACTTTTTTTTGGTCTGCTTTCAGTCCAGTGCCAGCGTTCATTTGAGAAACTGAAAGATCAACATGAAACTGATGGCCGGGCTGCAGAAATCAGGAAACAAGAAAAAAATCAGTATAAAGCAAATATTTATTATTAAAGACTTTTCTTTAATCCCAACAGACTGCCTGTTACCGATTCATTTAAATAGTTAAAACCTACCACCACACTAAAAACACTCAATCCACTGTTTCCACATATTGTCTTTGTCAACGCATGTGTCAAAACAGCTGCCTGAATATTTGGAAGGTTGGTGCGTTTTATGTACTAAAAGTTTTATAGTATGGATATTTTAGTTTTATATATAAATATTGGTTTTAAACAGAAAACCGGAAGCTTTAAATATATGAGACAGGCTGGTGATTTCAGGAGTGAATAAGACCTCAGTAACAACTTGTGGCCTTCTTTAGCACCTTTGTATGCTTTCCCTGATATGTCAGTTCCTCCCAAAACAGTACATTTTAACTCAGAATTGTACATTTCCCAATGAACTGCCAAGTTAGATTTAGTCTATTAACAACACCCCCATAAATTTAAGAAACAGACACACTTACATTGGAAACCCCTATTTTCAAGAGTTTCAAATTCACCATATAGACGTTTGCACCTATCTGAAAACTCTATTAATCTCCCCTTGGATAATTGTTCCCATGAACACTGGATGAGCTGTAATGAACACTGCAATGAAGGGAGGATTCTCACCTAATACTAGCCTTATGAGGTATCACACTGGGAGCATTCTTTGCTTCTGCAACGAAGCACACTCTGGAGCTAAATACTGTTTAAAAAAGTATATCGATAACCGTGGGCTTCTTAATGGTGCACATGCCAGCCACATGGAATTTTCCCAGCAATAGCAGGGATAGAACACATATCTTCCTGCTGTAAAGGCATATACACCGTTCCACTGAGCTACGGGAGAATCTTTTTAGGTGTTAATAGTACAGTGCCTATGACACATACTTCGGTATTTCTGATTTTAGAGGAAGGGAGACACACACGCTCTTTACAATAGCAGTTCTCAGACTTTAAGAGCTAGCTTACCACATCTAAAACTCGGAAGTATTTGGTGTGCCACCTTCATAAATTTACATCAGTGTAATTATAATGAGATTCCAATTCTGATACTATATTTTAAACCAACCTGAACATTGTTTGATTGTAACCATCATACCACAGTTTGAGAACTGGTGTATTATCATATACTCCAAATTCCAAGCAACACACAAACTCTGCTTCGCCAAGTGTAAAATGAGTATAATAATTACTTACCCACTTCAGCGGGGTGTTTATGAGGATAAATTAATTGATTGTAGATCATACACTCTGAGTATTTTTAATAGAGCATGGGACTAAGGACTCAAAGGGAGTGGTAGATTTGCAGTAAGTGATCCAAGCAGAACCACAGAGCACGAGACCTCCACATCTATATAGACTGATTAGAGCTGGTCAAAACATGGGTGGAGGGAGAAATCACTGAATTTTTTCGAAGTCAATTTCATTCCGCAAGTTTCAAAAAGAAACGCTTTTGCTTTATCCGTTTTTTCCTGAACATTTTTCAATAAAATTGTTCATTTTTAAAATGTGAGGGAAATATTTCCATTTTTCCTTTTACCATCTCCCTTTCTCCCCTTTTTCCTTCTTTGGCACTGAAAAGCAGTTGGAAGGAGAAGCAGAGAAAGGGGAGGGAAAGAATAATGATCAATCAAAACCCAGAGCACAAAAGGAAAGCCAAAAACAAAACGTATTAGCTTTCAGTTGTGTCAAAAAACAACAACAACCCAACTCTAATTTTTTTTTGTTGCAGAAAAAATATCAAAATTTTCATGTCTTTTTTTAAACAAAAATAAAAAAAGTTATTTGAACAATTTTGACCAGCTCTAGAGAAAATATGAAAAGAAAGGGATTAGGTCACAAACTAGCCCATAAACCTTAAAGACATTTGCCAGAAATATCTTGGGCCTACAAAGAGGATTAAAGGCCTGGTCCAATTCCCACTGAAGCCAATGAGACTTTTTCCACTAACTTCAATGGGAGCTAGATTTGTCCCTCAGTGAGAAGTACCCAACTGGTCAGAAGTATCCACAAAAACACAAAAACTGCACTTCGATGATTTGGTTTTACTACAAAACATGTCTATGAGCTTTCAGTTTTTCACGAGTCCTGCATCGTTACCTATAGTATTCATCTCTGCTTGGTGAGCCAGGATTTCCAACCTTGCTTCTGAATCTCCTCAGCTTTTGTTCCTTTAAGCCTCGTTCTCAATGCTATTTGCCACCTTCCCTCCTCCCCCTTCACATGTATGCAGAAGAGGCTGTATTAAAATGATAAGACTTTCAGCGTTAGAGAAAAAAAAAAAAACATTTTCTCCAAAAGCTCCATTTCAGTCTTCCAAATGGCCTGTAACTGAGAAAAGCAAATACATATTGTACTACTGTGATTACTGTTGAGTGAAACAAGCCCCCTTCTTCTGTTTCATCTAAGTCTTTTCACAGAAGGCTAAAGATAAGCTGTTTTCTGCCTACAGAATAGGCTGTGCAGGCTTTTTCTGTATGAATCCAGTCAGCCCACACCCTAACTGGAGGTCAAATTAACACATTAAAAATGGGTTTCTGAAAACTCTATGCGGCTGATCTTTGGAATAGAGCTGTTCCTGAGTGCCATGAGGTCTTTTCACCATCAGCGCTGTGAGGCCAAGAGATAGAAGGCCTTACCCTTTTATTTTCCCACTTTGCAAGGACTGGGTCAGGAGAGCGCTCTTGTCGCAATAGCCTGCAGCATTCGGGATGATCTGGAGCTACAACAGTGACCAGCCAAGCGTTCAGATAGTCCCTGTATTGTAGGTATGGATTAGGATTTTTGTTTCTGATTTTATAGGGCATTAAAGAAAGCCTGTAAAAAAATAAAGGGCCAGATTGAAGACTGGGTTTTGCCAGCAGGGCCCAGGGAGGGGCTGAGTTTGCCCAGAGAGGATGTTTGTGGTGGTGCGATGGGGCACGCTGGCCAGGAAGCCCAGAGGATGTGCTGAATCCAAGTTGCCTTTGCCAGAAGGGCTGCCATGCCATACTTAAAAGCTGCCTTCCCTTAGCAGAAGTCCAGAGTAAGTGCAAACACCACTTGCGGGCACAGCTGCCCCTACTGCCTCAGGGGTGAGTTTAGTTTTGACTGACTGTATGAACTTTAAATTGCCAGCAAGAGATGTAGGCAATGTCAGACACGTAACGCCCAGCCTGGCTACTCAGCAGAGGATCTGCCCCCAGTGTGTTCACTAGCTGCTCTGCTTTGTGGACTAACTCAAGGCAACTCTTGCAAATCCACAGAACGGTTCATCTCTCTCACTAACACACACTCCCTTCTAGCATCTACTGCCTTTGTAATTCTCCTTGGGATGGAACCCACAAAACCTTTTGATCCTTATGCCCCAGCTAATGACCAACCCAGAAACACTCACTGATGACCAGAAACATTCACTTTGCTTAACCAGAGCTGGCTGGAATGAGTAGGTTTCAACCCCAAAGCCTCAGGAATATTTCATTCAGCAGAAATTTCACTAAATACCAGTTAATCTACAGGACTATCACCAAAAAAATAGCCTAAATTTTGGAAGTATCATGTAGCTGGCAGTCTCCGTGATGTTTTTTTTTAAATTGTACAACAATACATAGCAGACAGTGCTTTAACCACTTCTCATCCTCAGTAAAGTCTTTTGTCCCACCCCAACCAATTCCTCAGAACTATCATCTATCAGACACTGTCTCTGGATTGTTATCATCACTTTGAAAAGATTTTGCAAGTTGTATCTTATTTCCTTTTTCACTTTGTCATCCAACTCAACTTTTTGTGGTGGCAGAAATGGGGAGCAGAGTATTTATGGCTAAGACCAAAAAGTCCTGGGTTGTTTTGTTTTGGGGAACCTGCTTTTCATTTTCCCAGGGAAAAGTGAACTGAAAGTTAAATGAACAAATGTTGCTCCTTTGTGCCAGCGGTGAGGAGTTTTTCTCAAGGCTCTGTTTGTCACACCAGCAAAACGACCTAAATCAAACATTTGGGAAGGAAGTTTGGCTGCCTATGAAGGGTTTGGCTAGAACGTGGGTAGTCTGGCTTTGCAAATTGCTGTGCTCCTCTGTTCTTTATGACAGCAGCAAGGTGTGAAACATATCAGAGAGTTAACAGCCCAGTGTTGTGGGATGATTCACATGTGTAATGAAACTGACTGTTGCTTTTCTTATCCCTAACACTACTTGCTATTGTTAGCAACTTTTATACTGAATAAGAATACAACAGTGAGGAAAATTGGCCCTAAATTTGCTGCATCTTTGTTTGAATTCATATAGATCTAGACACATTGCCATAACTAACACACAATACTGAATAACTTCCACCACATGGCAGCGGAAACCACATTGTCTAGTACATTACATATGCCAGATTTCCTATATCAGAATAGCAATTAGGAAACTTTTACATTGGTTAAACAATACTATTAAGGCAATGTCTTCCCTGTCACAAAAATATGACTTTCAGAGACTCTGTCTGTGTGTGTGTGGGGGGGGGTGTGTGTCATAAAAATACATAGGGCCAGATTTTCCGCTAGTGTACATCAGTGTAGTTCCACTGAAGTCTATGAAGCTATGCTGATTCATGCAAGCTGAGAATCTAGTCACAATCTTGTCAACTGGTTAGCTCACTTCTGAGCAAATCTGGCTCTAAATATGTCCAGGTCATGAAAGTATTGGGGTTTTTTTTAATTACTTTAAACAATTTTTATATAAAATATAGGAGAAGTGATTTTTTTCATGACGACATACACCTCTTAGACCAGTTAAAATATTCAAGCCATGATTTTTCCATTTTTTCCTTTCAAATTAAAATTACTTTTATATTTTTGCTATGACAACCAAGTCACCCTTAAGTATTAACAAGTACACTGTCCATATACTCCAAAGGTTGCCAACCCTTCAGGACTGCCCTGGAGTCTCCAGGAATTAAAGATTACGTCAGAAATAGGTCCAACCAAAATTGGCAACATAATTTACTCTTTTTAATGCTGGTGAAAGAGACAAACTACAGAGCTTCTTCTTCAGAGGAGAGCTCTGTGTAAGCTCGAAAGCCTGTCTCTTTCACCAACAGAAAAGTTGGTCCAGTAAAAGATATCACCTCCACCTTGTCTCTCTAATATCCTGGGACCCATATGGCTACAGCAACAGTTGCATAAAATGGAACAGATTACAGCTGTCTTCATTTCCCCACAGCACTTTACATTTAATTTATTTATCTGTCTATCTCCAGGTATAACAGCTATAGGTGCTTAAATCCAACGTGCACAAAAAGTTTACTGGAAAAGAGGCCTAGAGACATAATATTAAACACTGTGAATATTGCTGCAGAATAGTCACAAGGTATTTCAATTATATGTAATTTCACGTATACGAACTGAATATTGTTGTTACGTTGGGGGTTGGGTGAAACCTCACAGACCCTGGAGAGCATACCAGCCACCCTTCATTCAGGAAGAAAGTAAGAAGCAGTTAAGCTCCTTTTGGAGTAAGATAGCGGGAACAATAGGAACTGAGGCCCAAAACATAGGCCACATGCAAAACTATCTGATGAAGTGAGCTGTAGCTCAGGAAAGCTTATGCTCAAATAAATTTGTTAGTCTCTAAGGTGCCACAAGTACTCCTTTTCTTTATGTGAAACTAGTGTAGGGGTTGAGCCATGCAGTCTGAGGGCTTTTCCTCAGGGTCTGAATGCAAATGCAGGAGACTGAGGGCATGGCTACGCTGAAAATTTCAAAGCGCTCCCGCGGCAGTGCTTTGAAATGCTAGTCCACCTCCACGAGGGGATTAGCGCCTAGCACTGGGGAGCCCAGCTCCCAGCACTCCGATCCTGTTTACACTAGCTTTTTTAAAGCACTCTGACTTGCTGCACTTGGGGGGGGAAGGGGGGGAGTGATTTTCTCACCCCCGAGCCAGCAAGTTAGAGAGCTATAACATGTAAGTGTAGCCAAGCCCTCAGTATTGTTTGATGGGGAAGGGGTAGGTGGACGGGGAGGAGAGAACAAACAGTAGAAGACACCAGATAAGTGGACAGAGAAGGCAACAAAGAAACCCCAGAGACAGCTGGAGAAGCATGTGCGGCATGAGCCTGAGAAGAAAGTTAAGAGAGAGCTTTTGGATAGAGTGCTGCCTAAAAAGAAGTTTGGAACTAAAAGCAAAGAAATTGCCTCCACCTGTCTGATTCCTTCTGTGTTTGGGGAAACAGGATTTTATGTACATTCTTTGTAAATAAACAGGATTGCATCAAAGCCATACTTCTGTCAGATTTCTCAGTGTGTATGTGGAAAGGGAGGAGAGTCAGGGCAGGCTGAGGAGAGAGGGGTCAAACCTAGGCTGGCACTGGGATGCACATCATTCCCCTCCAGTCCCACACAAGATATTCAGCAAAATTTATACATCAACATTGCCATTCCCAAATATTCAAAAACCATGAGTCAGGCACACCAAAAATCATGAGCTTTTGTAAAAACAATACATTTGTGGTTTGTTTATTTGCCTTCTGCTTTTTGAGCCTTTAGGGTGCACTAGGATCACATTTTGAGGCTTTCTTAACAGCCTGGAGGGCTAGAAGCTTACTTTTTCTTTAAGAATGAAGGCTGAAATCATCACATCCACTTGACTCCAGGAGCTGGGGCTTTGAGGAAAACAATAATTATCATGAGACTCATGACAAAATCATGAAGGTTGGCAACATTACACAGCCATCCACAAGCTGTATCCCACTCCTGCCACTCCACAGCAGCCACTCTAGACAGAGATAGTCCCAGCAGGCAGGATCTGGGTGCTTAGAGCCCAGCGCTGCTGCTGGATTATGGGGC